ACAGATTAATAGATGAGGCATGACTGAGGGTATACTAACATCACCATGTCTCTACACAGCAATGCATTAATGAACAAAACAGGAGAAAGCCCCGGATGCCCGCTGCACACACCCTTGGCTCATGCTCATTTATCATGTGTTTGTGCTGAACACTAGAAAATATCACATAGGCTCCATACTGGGCATTGTGTGCCAACTTAAATGTCATTTTACTATATATAAAGAACAGGCGCTGCTTTATACTAGTCATTTCTTACCAGAGCACAGTGGTCTTTTTTGTTTTGGTTGGTCAGGTCAGTAATGGTGGATGTGATGCTGGGACTCAGCAGCTGCTGTCTCTGGTCAAGGTAGCACTGATGGATTTCACCAAGGAGCCGAGAGTATCTGTTCACATTAACGTAAGGAAGGATAAGCTAATTTAGTGCAATTATGTGTTTAAAAAACACATAATTGAACTACTTTCACTCTGGAGAAATGCCGATACTCACTCTGGAATCTTCTCTGCTCGCTGTTCTATCTGTTCAATCAGTGACTGAATGACAAAAAAGGGGTAAATGAAAATGTCATTGCATTACAGAAAATGATTTATGCAAACGGGTGTGCTGCATAAATTGAATGGGTAACACAAAACATTACACTCACGCTAACTTTAGGTGCAACTGCTCGAAACTTCACATAGTAAAGTGTGAAGGCATTGTCGGCGTTGGTCAAGCCTGTTGGATCCTGGAGGACACAAAAAGAAAGTAGAATGAAATATTAATATTGAGTAACATTATTAATGCTTTTGGTCACCGACTGTCTAGGAGGATGAAATGTGACTTGTTCTTACCCTTTTTGTTAACTGGCTTGTGAGATTCTGCATAGTGTTTACAATGTGGATTTTCATAAAGTGCATAGCCTTAGAAAGACATTGTTTAAACTTGGCCAAATAAACTGGGTAGTCCTTGAAATTGGGCTGTAATCAATAGAAACAGAAATAGTGTTATATAGTTTTAACTGTGAACACATACCATATGCTCCAATATATAGATTATATTACAAGGGCAGCACATTTCTGTTATTGTAACAAGACAACGGTATATTGTTAGGCGTTTCATTATTTTATTACTGGTAAAATATTTACATCTGCACATAACTGAAACTCTGTCAAGAGTGCAAGCTACTTACATGTGAAGAAACATATTCAATGCAGTCATCCAATTTCGAAAGCATTGGTATAAATCCTTCACTATTTACAGACAAGGTTGGGGAGTTTAGCTTCTGTAAAGGCAAAGAAAAAGAGAAACACATCATCTTCCTGCTCTTTCTCGGTCTTTATCATCAAAACATTTTTTTTATTTGGATGTCAGTGTCAGAAATGTGTTGTTTTGACTTTAAACCCTGGTCAAAGCAAATCTGCAAAACTGCTTTTTACTAATTTTCTATTATACTGTATTTTAAAGGCTTATAGGTGATGTTCATTTTATGAAACATTTTTGAAGGTAAAAACAAAAAATGATGCTGACATCAAAGACCTTCATAAGGTTTTTAATCGGGGACATATTGCTGATTATGATAATATCCAAGTAATGCACGGACATCATTTGCACTACAAACATTTAGCTGTCTTATGTTTCAAGATGGAAACCAGGAGAAACCCAGCATACCGTGTTTATGTTTTCTAACTCATTGAAATATGACAATTTCTGCTGGATGCTCTCTGCCAGGTCAACAAGCTCTGCCTACAAAAGAGAGAAAACAACAAACAGAAGTTGACACAATACGGCATGACAGTTTAATTTCAGTTCAGACGCAAGTTCCTTGAATGGTCCAATCTACATATTTATGTGAACAGAAGCAGCTCTCTGCAAGAGTTGGGAAAAAAGCAAGGACAAAAGAAAGAAAACTGCAGCATCAATAAGATTAAAGATGCCACTGAAAGAACAAACAGCAGTCTGCCTAATGTTTGGTAGCAATTTTATATTCAGACAAGCTTTCATGTGTGTCAGGTTGTTCAGAACTAGTTCATGTATGGCATTTTCAGTAATCTACAGTGAATCATTTAGGCACATCCACAGTTGTTTTTATACATTTTTTCAATTCTGTAGAGCTTCTGATTTTAGATCATACAGATACTACAGATGATTCTGCAGTTCTGGATTTGGGAGAGATGTTCTTGTGCTTACGAATACAAAAAAAAAAAAAA